TGTGTTAGCAGTACTACAGGTCTGATTTACATTTGTATGTCCCGTGTCCAGAATATTATGTTGCTCATTGCAGTGACACTTCCCATCTTTGGACCAAGGTGTGCTGGTATTTGTGATCTATCTGTGACTCAATGAACCCCACTGTCCTGGCTTCAGAGTCATTTTGTTACTGAAAATAGAGTATTTTACGCAATGTATTCTGAACATGGTTCCCCTTCCCCAACTCCTCCCACCCCCGTACTCCCCCCTCCGTTCTCAACTCTCTGCCTTCTTTCTTGTCATTCAGAGTCATTCTTAATGGCTCTGCCTTCTCCTCCTCTCTTTTCCTTCTCCTTGTCCCCTCTCTCTCCCCACTCCTTTTGGGTAGCTGTTAGGAATCAGGGGTTAGAATAGTTTGAAACCTTTTTGTTAAAGATTGTCAAAGACAATCTTAGGTAGAATCTGATATGGCATAGCAGGTAGTTATGTCATCAGCAGCTGATGTAAGACTGTAGTCCTCCCTCTTCCCCCTACCGTACCTGGATTCTCTCTCAGTTGCCCAAGGTACACATGAAGAAGTTCACTCATCGAACTGCTGACTTGACCAGATGATTGCTTATTCCTTAACCTTATACTGAGTGACAAGAGATGGGAAAAAGAACAGGAAAGGAAGAATGAAGTATTAAGTCACGGGCATGGAAAGAGTAGGAGAACACTGGGCTAGCACTCAGGGTTGGGTTCTTAGATCCCTGCAGCAGAGCCCGCTCTAGCTAAACACTTAGATCTATGAAGAATGTGTTGAGGAAGGCTTTCTTTTAGGCCATCAATCAGCTCCCAAATCATGACATGGAGCCTTGTTTCGGACGCTCGGCCTTATCTTAGTTCTTATTTTAATCTGTTTCTTTTTATCTACATTTTGCCTTGGAGCTTTTTATCTTTCTTTTTTTTTCTGTACATCCTACTTTCCTGATTCTCATGTCTGACTGGTTAGCAGCTGCCTGGCTTCTGGCCCTGAGCATCTCCCTCCCTATCTCCCTCTTTCTCAACTCTCTTCTTCTCTTGAGTCTAGATTTCTCTTCCTATTTATTCTCTCTGCCTGACAGTGTTGCATATCCTCTACTGCCTAGCTATTGGCCATTCAACGTTTTGCTAGACCAATCAGGTGCCTTAGGTAGGCAAGGTGAAAAAACAACACATTTCTACATAATGAAACAAATGCAGCATAAACAAACACAACACACCTTTACATAGTTAAAGTAATATTCCATAACAAAAACAAATGCAACACATCTTTGTTTGGTTAATCAAATATTTCGCAACAGTGTGTATGGCTACTGGGGCCATTGGGAAGGCTGATGAACATGCTTTAGACTAGGCAGAGGTCCTAGAAAGGACTTCTAAAGCCATGCAACAGTACTAAGTGGCTAAGGTAGCTGTCTCCTCCCTCTGCATGGTGAATCTAAGGCTGCTACACAATATTGTGTTTGGAGGAACTATTCCTTCCAGATTATGAAGCCAATCAGAATGCCATCATTTTAGGAGTGGGTATAGAACATTCATCTTTTCCCTGGTCCACATCTTAAAAATGGTTGCCTTGCACTTTGCCTTGCTCCCACACAACTCAATTCCCTGATAAATTCTGGTATATGTACCATTGAGCAATAGGTACTGAACACTGCATCTTAAATGCCACCCCACCAAATGCTGGGTTGGTCCCTAACACAGCAGTGGTCAGAGGTGGGGTTTTGGAAATGACTGGATTGTGAAGTCACTGACTCATAAATGGATTAATCTACTTTATGGTTTCATAGCCACCATACTGCTCTGCCCCAACACACTATCTTGATCATGATGGGCTCAAACTTCTGAAATGGCAAGGCAGAATAAATCCCTCTTCCTTAAGTTCTGTCTTTCAGGCATTTGTGACCAAGATGCAAAGCCTAGCACACTCATGCTACTTCCAGTTTCTCTGTTCTCAGCTACGACTTTGTGTTGGATGAAGTTCTTACTTGGTAAATATGATAATTAATCTTCATTGTCAACTGGATGTAGAATCACCTAGGCAGCATACTTCCGGGCACATCTGTATTTCCAGAGAGACCACTCTGTATGTGGGTGACACCATCCCATGGGGCTGGGATCCTTGATAGAATAAAAGGGGAAAAGGACAAAATGTGAATGTCACTTCTCCCTGTCCCTGCTTCCCCCCTCCTTCCCGACTATGGATACCATGTGACTGCCTACCTCACCCTCTTGCCATCATATTTTCCCCAAGAGGATGGGGAATAAACCCTTTCTCTCTGAAGTTGACTTTGGCAGGAATTTTGTTGCAACAAGAAGAAAAATCGCTAATGCAGTGGAGCTAAACTGCAGATTTAGCTCTTGATGGTTTTGTTTGTGCAAATTTGTACAGTCATTGTCACCACAGAGGTATCCATTTTAAGAGATGCCCCATAGGGTTCCCAGCATTCTGAACCTATTACTCTCTGCCTTCAATGCATAACAATTACCTCTTTATCAGTCTATTGTTTCGTAACCACAAAGAGCCTAAAGTTGCTAGATGGCCGACTCAACTTCTAGTTCAATGGGACCATTATTCTGTCTAATGGGGGAACATGAATTCTAAAGCTTTGGAGCTTAAGGTCCCAGGAACAGGAAGCAAATATTTTTCAAATAGGTCATCAGATGTAGGAGTGGGCCAGAATGTACTACTTGGTCCTGTGGTTCGGTGTTCTGGCTATGGAACAAACATCACGGTTTATTTGTCAATCATTGGAAGCATCCTGCATCTTATATCCTTGCACAGTACTGTCTCCTAGGCAGCTCTGTCACTGGTTAGTGGCCATGTCCCTGTTCTAGGAGGCGTTGTGTGAATCCTCTCATTTACTTCTTTTCCAAATCATCATTGCCTTCCTCAGACTCTCTAGTCAGCCCTTCCCCTTACTCATCTACGTGTGTGTGTTATACAGGTGTCTCTACACATGTGCATTCAGTGTGTGTTTATCTGCCTACGCATGCATGTACGAAGCTCAGAAGTCCATATCAGGTATCTTTTTCTTTTAAAATTCACCATCTGAGTTTTTGAAACAGGATTTCTTATTGAACCTGGAAGTCACTGATTGACAGAAACTGGCTAATTAGCAAGCTCCCAAGACCCTCCCTTGTCTGCTCCCCACACTGGAATTGTATCAGCTCTAAGATACAACATGCAAAACACAGGGGCCACAAGAGGCGAGGGTCAGTGCACAGAGAGTGAGGCCTGAGTTGTGGCTAACAACATAGAGCTAAAAGGAATCATTCTCATTCTCAGAGCAGTGTTTGGGGATGCATTGAACTAACTGAAGGATCTTTGCCAGTGAGTCATTGAGTAGGGTATGATGTGGGCATTTAGGGGTTGTTACTGATGCTAAGAAGAAAACGCTTAGCACTTACATACACGCACAGACATAACCATCTCAGGGTGCATTTGCAATGAATGGTGGAAACACCAAAACTTGTCATGTTAAGCCCTTTTTGCTGAAACTTCCTGAGATGGGCCAGGCCAGTAGAAAGGGCAATTGGTATTGATCAGACACTATGATTTTTTGGTGCACAGAAGCATTCAATTGTTCGTGTGTATATGGCTCTTTGAGAGCAGAGATCAAGCACTTGCAGGCTTTTTATCAGATTCACCACCTAATCAGGTGATGGACACACTGAGGGACTTCAACAAATAAGATCTTAATAGAGTTAAGCAAATGATTGTGCCTACCATGTCAGTCCTTGCAATTGTCCCTTGCCTGTTGCCATTGAAACATATTATTTCACAAATAGCTAGGATTGCTGTTAGAATTGAGGAATGGCTGGGATTGGGGACTTGGTAAAAGGTAGAGGAGAAAACAAGAAACAATGCCCTTCATGCTTCCTGGGATGGTGCAATTTTAGATAGAGCCCTGCTATAAGATACCCAACGATACAACAAAATCTTCAAACACTAGAGAGATAAAGTCCTTCTGGTGCAATATCCTGCTCTGGTCAAAGATAAAGAAAACTTTTTATGGGAGAGGGAAAGGATCCTAGATCCGTACTACTTGAACCTTACTTTTGACCTTACTTACTAGAACCTTTGGGCTTTCTTGAGTTTGGATGAAGTGCATTTTTTTTAGTCCTAGACACAAGACAAGGAGCCAGAGATGTAAAGATGGTGGTATCAACATCTCAGCTTTTCTATAAAAGAAAGAGAGGAGATTCACATCTAATAAAATCATGGCACTATCTCCTTGGAAATGGCCAGAGGACACAAAACTCCAGACAAAGTGTGGGATTCTAGAGTAGCATATAGGAACCATGCTATGTGACGACTAACACAGTCTCCTAACAAAAGAGGCCCCTGAAGAGGAAATATAGAGTCAAGAGCATAAGAAAACTCAGAGAGTCATGAGGGTGGAACAGTAGCTACTTTGTCTTGGGTGTCTAGGTTGGAGGACATGGAGGAAGTGGCCTTTAAACAATGAATTGTTTTTAAGCAACAATGAGGGGAACTCTTCAAAGATGACAAATATCCCAACATTGGTAATAAAGAAGGGCAGGCACATTTATCATTTTGAGAAATAAAAAATGGCCCCTGACTACGGGTGGATCATAGTAGATAATTGGACTCATAGTTATAAACACCTGCCATCAAAAAGCAGAGGACAGAAATCACAAGGCTCGGGGGAGGGGGATTCTCAAAGCACAGGAAACAGAATACCATCTTCCTGCCAGGGTAGTAGGTGGGTAGGGGTGGCCCGAGACTGGGAGAACACAGAAGCAGGAAGCATAATGCACAGAAGTTCTCTTTAGGCAGAGCACTGAAGGACACTGAGATTCCAAAAGTCAAAGAATATAGGATGCCTGGAGTCTGGTGTTCACCATCTCTTTATTCCCTCACCCATTCTCTGTCCTTGGCACACAGGTGGCTGAGATCTAAGCATCTCATTATAAAGAAGGGATACTATGTCAAGGGCAAAGTCATTGCAGCTAATTGCTCTCCTGAGCCAGAGTTCCTTCTGGTTTCTAGGAATTCAACAAGGACCATTCATCTCTGACATAGCCGGAAGACGAAGGCTCCTATTGACAAGCAGAGACTATGAGAGAAACTATCAAGAAAAGTGGGCGGCACAAGTAGCGATGTGGGTTCTCAAGAGAACCCTGGAAGACGCTCAACATAAGAAAACCCAGGCACTGCCACTGTTCATTCACAGACTGGGGTCAGACGTGGGGTGTTATTGACCCAAGTGTTTGTATGTACCATGAGCTTTACAAAGGACAACCTTTCCCCAGGAACTTGCCAGGTAGTCTAAGAATAAGGCATAAATACACTTGAAAGGAGTTAGCGGTTTAAGGGGGGCACTCACTGTATGACACTGTGATGTGAGCAGTAGGATCACCTGTGAAATGCAGGAGTAGGGTCATTTTGGTCACATGATCTTCCAGGCCTCTGTTGTCAGACCCATCATTCTGTGACTCTGCCAACAAGTCTGATGAGGTAAGAATTTTGTCTTCTAAGTAGATTTTCTTCTCTTCCTCTGATTACATAACATGGTTTTGTACAATACCATGTGCTATCATGCAGCTTATTCACATATATTATTCATGATATTAACTGGCATGTTCTGCAGCCTATACACACTTGCCATTCACAATATTGACTGACACATTCTGCAGGGTATTTGTACATATCATTCAGTATATTGACTTACTTTTTTTTTTTGGTTTTTAAGACAGGCTTTCTCTGTGGCTTTGGAGACTGTCCTGGAACTAGCTCTTGTAGACCAGGCTGGTCTCGAACTCACAGAGATCCACCTGCCTCTGTCTCCCGAGTGCTGGGATTAAAGCCCAGCGATTCTGCAATGTATATGTATATAGCATTTAGGATGTTGACTGGCATGTTCTTCGGTGTATACACACTTACCATTCAGGAAACTGACTGGCATATTTGGGGAGCATGTTATCATTCCTTCATTTTTCCTTATTAATTTATTTTTTACACTCCAATTCCAGGTCCGGCACTTCGCTCGAGGGGCCTGAAGGACTCTTGGCATCTCCGGAGACAAGGGCACGACACGCACTTCAAAGTGAAGAGTTAGTTGTGGGAGCATGCTGGACCTGCCGAGGCAGAGGCTCCCTTTGGCGTGGGCTTTGCTCCTCCTGCCGTTCCTGCGGCTGCTGATGCCCGCAGCCCCCGCACCCCACCGCGGTCCCTACAAGCCCGTGATCGTGGTGCACGGGCTCTTTGACAGTTCCTACAACTTCCGCCACCTGCTGGACTACATCAAGGAGACGCACCCCGGGACTGTGGTGACAGTGCTTGATCTCTTCGACGGCAGTGAGAGCTTGCGGCCCCTGTGGGAGCAGGTGCAGGGGTTCCGGGAGGCCGTGGTCCCCATCATGAAAAAGGCCCCCGAAGGGGTGCACCTCATCTGCTACTCCCAGGGGGGCCTGGTGTGCCGCGCTTTGCTGTCCGTCACCGATGAGCACAACGTGGACTCTTTCATCTCCCTCTCCTCCCCGCAGATGGGACAGTATGGAGACACAGACTACTTGAAGTGGCTCTTCCCTACGTCCATGCGGTCTAACCTCTATCGGATCTGCTACAGCCCTTGGGGCCAAGAGTTCTCCATCTGCAACTACTGGCACGATCCTCACCACGACGACTTGTACCTCAACACCAGCAGCTTCCTGGCCCTCATCAACGGGGAGAGAGACCATCCCAACGCCACAGCATGGCGGAAGAACTTTCTCCGAGTGGGCCGCCTGGTGCTGATTGGAGGCCCTGATGATGGAGTCATCACTCCCTGGCAATCTAGCTTTTTTGGTTTCTATGATGCCAACGAGACGGTCTTGGAGATGGAGGAGCAGTCAGTTTATCGGCGAGACTCCTTTGGGTTGAAGACTCTCTTGGCCCGGGGGGCCATAGTGCCGTGTCCAATGGCTGGGATCTCTCACACCACCTGGCACTCCAACCGCAAGCTCTATGATACTTGCATCGAGCCGTGGCTCTCCTGAAGACGTCCTCGGGGATCCCCCCCCCCAGCCCAGAGACCAAGTGGTGGCCTTGGGAAGCAGATGCCAGGCTCTGCCAAGTCTGTGCCCACCTCATCGCTCCCACACTGCCCCACCCCACCAGGGCTCCCCGAGTCCTCCTCCTCCTCCACTCCTCCGCAAATGACGGGCCCTGGTCCCCTACCTCACGTCCTCATCTGGGGGTGTCTCCATGCTCTCCCTTTCTCCCACGGCTGAGGTTGGTTGGGAAGCGAGCACCGGGTTTTTTTTTTTTTTAAACTGGCTTCCCCACTGCTGCTGCTCCTCCGGGTCTGGCTTGTACCGGAGGAGAACCCAGCCCCTGCCCACCCCAGGGGTCTCTTTCCGGGCCACTCAGGACATTTTTAGCTTCTGTTGTCCCCCGTGCTCCGTTTTTCTCAACCTCCTGTCCCAACCAAGAGGAACACCCGTAGGAGGGGTTCTGAGGTTCCCCTATGGGGACAGTTCCACTTTTGAAGTGTCAGTGTTGAGGAATATCTGTGGCCTGCAAGGCCCATCTCAGATTTGGGGATCCCCCAGTCCCTATGATCAGTATTGGGGTGTCCCCTGGGAGCCTAGGTCCTTTGAGGCCCCAGCCCTTCTTTTCAGGACCCTTGATTGGATGTTCCCTGTATTTATAGAAATAAAGTTCCATTTCCTCAACAAAACAAAACAAAACAAAACAAAAAACCAATCCCAGTTCCCCCTCCCTCCTTCTCTCCCACCCCTTCTACTCCCGCCTCCTCCCATCTGCTCTGCGGAGAGGGTAAGGCCTCCCAAAGGAAGTCTACTAAGTCTGTCACATCATCTAGTTGAGGAAGAACCAAGACACCCCCTCCACCCTTGTGTCTAAGCTGGGCATGGTATCTCTCCATATAGAATGGGCTCCACTAAGTCAGTTTGTGTGTTAGTGTTAGATCTAGGACCCACTGCCAGTGGCCTCATATATTGTCCCAGTGACACCATTGTCACCTATATTAAGGGAGTCTGGTTTGATCTTATGCCTCTCCTTTACTTTTAAAACATTAGTCCCTTAAGTTTGTTCCTAAATCTTAGTATTTGAAAGTTCAAAATACCATTAAAGAAGCAACACTTGGCATTTTCTTACCACTATCATTTTTAAAAATTAATTTATTTTGAGGGGTGCTTCAGGAGATCAATACTCCATCACCAAGCTGTATCATTAGCCTTCTCTTCAATTTCTCTGTCTGCCTTCACAGTGGTTCATTCTCTTCACCATCTTCAACACTCAGTAGTTTTCATTATGTTGGTCAAAATGAAGCTCAAAGCAGAGCTCCCACCTTTGGTGGAGGCCCTCGAGCAACACTGGTACAGTGTTTTTAACCTTAGTGTTCTACAGAGACTCACAGGTGGGCAGCCTATGGCACCGTTGGGAGACCAGGATCTTTGGAAGCAGAACCTAATGGAAGGAAGTTAAATTATTGGGGATCACTAGCTTGAAGAGATGAGGGACTGCGGACCCCTTTTCTTCCTTTGCTTTTTGACTGACATGAGGTGAACTGATTTGATATTACGATGCTCTTGCCTTACCATAGGCCAAAGGGGGAATATCAGAAACCACGATCCCAGATTAATCTTTCCTCTCCTATTTCGATTATCTCGGGTATCTTGTCACAGCGACGGGAATTGAACTTTACCAGCTTGTTTTGGGTTTTCTTTTTCTTTTTTTCCAACTGTATGTAAAGCTCAAGGAGGCGACTTGCAATTGAGAGGTCCACCTAGGCTTTGGGAACAGTCCCTGAGCTCAGGAGCTAACTGAACTCCTGTTTCTGTGCTTACAGCTTCATCACCAATATTTTTACGTAGTCCAGCAGGACTGGCTTCCTTAGCCACTCTGTTTACCTCAACTGCCATAAGAAGCCCAGGCTCATTTGTTACCCTGGTTTCCTATCCACTCATTTCCACTATGTCCTGTATTTACTGGTTCACACATCTTTTTCTTGAGTCCTAGACTCTTCTGTTGGGCTTCTGTTGCCCAGCCAGCAGCGGCATATGCTCACAACTCCTTAGTCTCTTCTCGGCACAAATGGCCTCCAAGAACAGTGTTTTCCTGTCTGCCCCACAAAGTCTTTGTACCCAGTGAAGAAGCAAAAGAGTGTCTTCACTGACACTGTCAACTTGGAATCAAATACCAGGTTACTCCTGTTATCCCAGGCAGTATCTCTCTGTCTTAGTTTCATTTCCTGATGCCACGAGAAAATACTCAGAGAAAAACAAACACAAAGGGGAAAGGATTCATTTCAACTCCCAGTCCTGGGCATCACAGCAGGGAAGTTGAGGCAGCAGCAGCTTGAAGTGGCTGGTCATGTCTTCTCCACATCAGAAAGCACAGGGCAATGAACAGATGTGTTTGGCCCTTTCCTCCTTGTTGTTCAGTCCAGGACTCCAAGCCTAGGGAATGGTGGTGCCCACTTTTAGGCTGTGTCTCCCTACCTCGCCTAACCTAGCTGAGATCATTTCTCACAGCGCAGCCAGAGACTTGTCTCCCAGTTGGTTATGCATTGGTCAAGCTGATAACGTCAACTAACCATTAACCTTCATTGTCACTTCCATTTATTAAAGTGTGACGTGCTCTCTCTCTCCTCTCTCTCTCCTCTCTCTCTCTCTCTCTCTCTCTCTCTCTCTCTCTTTCTCTCTCTCTCTCCTTCTCTCTCTCCCTCCCTCTCTGTCTGTCTGTCTCTCTTTCCTCTGTTTCACTGAAAATTATTATTATTAAATATTTTAGCCCCTGGTTTGCTATTAGTCTCATTAGCTTTTCTCCTGTTTTAATATTTTTAGGATTCCATTAGATGTTCATTCTAAAGATCGGGGTCCCTGATGTCTTGACTCCTAATGCTTTTGTACTCTGTACCCAGCCACTGCCTTCCATATCATGTCCCAGACCAAACGAGACGCCGATAACCAGACCCTTCCATATATCTGCCTTTTCCGTCTTTCCTTCTCTTACCCTCCCTTCTCTTGCTTTTCTTTCTCTTGGTTCTGAGAGAGATCCTAACTGGACATGCCAGGCTGGCTTCAATCTCACTCCTGTGCCTCAGCTTCCCTAACGATGCCATCACAGGTGTGTGACGCCATACCAGGATTCCTCTATATTTTGAGTTCAGAATCTCAGATCACTGCTTCCATACTCTTTTTCTAATTCAGTCATGGTAGGAGCAGAATCGCCCATCACTTTATTCTGCCACGTTTCACGGTTCCCGTCTGTCCTTGCCGCGTTTCCCTCCATGTTGGTTGGGTCAGATGATTTGATGAGCGAAGGCACTTGCCAGTGAGCCCGGCCACCAGAGTGGGTCCCCAGAACCCACACAGTGGAAGCAGAGAACTGACTCCTGCAAATTGTCCTGTGGCTCCTCCAGTGAGCCTCCCACCACTAAAGAAAGAAGAAAAAACACAGTAGAAATGATGCCGTGTGGCAGATCTTTATGATTTCTTTCTTTTGTAAAAGCTTTGGTTCCCCCTGGGATCTCCTGGTCATAGGCATTGTTCAACAAAGGGACACCACTATTTCTCATTTTAGCTGAACATGGCAGCATTCCTTGGGCAAGCCGCTCCCTCCTCCAGGGAACAATGCTCTTCTCGCCTTTCTGTCCCTATCACAGTCGATTCTTTCCAGCCTCCTCTCTCTCACAGGTGTTTTCTTTCTTTCCTCCCTCGGTGACATCATTGACATCAGAGCTTTAAGCACCATCTATACACTGAAGGCTCCCAGATATTTAACTCTGTCCCAGATCTCACGCTAGGACTCCGGACTCCGAGAGCCGTCCTCACTTTTGTACTGTGTGAAGCTTGTTCCCAGCTGGTGCTCTCAAACCCTTCTCTCTAAGCCAGTGCTTTGCAGGCAGCCTGACTCCAGTTGGCTGCAACGTCAGCTTTCCTCTGGCTCAGGCCACAGCATGTCAAGTCTTTATTCAAATGACCTCCCATGATGCCTACTTCCACCACACTACTTAAAATTATATGCACTCCAATCCACACCATCTCCTTTCTTGTCTATTTTGTTTCCACAGTCCTTATCTGCTATTAATATTTTATGTAGCTATCAGATTAATTATTCTTTGTTTTCCTATTTGCACTTTCAACCTTCCCTAGATAGTCTAGAGCCCCGACAGTGGCAGGGATTTTATTTGGACTATTGCTTCCCATGCTTCTAGAATAGGGACTGGCATAAAGGGAATACTTAATGCATTGTTGTTCAATGAACGAAACAAGCAAATGAAGTCACAGTGGCCTGAGCCAGTCGCAGGGAACAAAGTAACCTCTGTGGTCATCATTGTCATGTATTGGTAGTGAACAGAGTGACATGAAGTCATGAGGAATAATGTCTTGAACACGAGATGTCTGCATGTAGAAAAGCTTATGTGATTCCTGATGTGGGGTGAATTTAACTGCAAGAAGAGCAGTAATGGACAGGCTTAGCACCCTTACTTTGTATTCATTGCAAACACCAAACTGTTATCACTGAGCCTTACCAGGCTGTAGGTATTTACATGACTATTACTGTATGGCCGGTAAGGTGTTGAGCACCATGCGATCATAGGTAGGATTATGGCTCTGTGTTTAGAGTCATCTCTGACGGCCATACCCTCCACTCCGTCATCTTATGCAGTAGAATAATAGAGACCACGCTAGTGTCTGAACAACAGGTACAGATTGGCTGGCCCCTGGAGGCTAGTGAAGGATCAACAGAGTGGAGTCACTTTGCCCCGTCCCCTGCATGTGGTTCTGATCCCTTTCAGGTGGCATCTCTGAGCTGGCAAATAAGCTGCTGTTATTATTATTTTATGTGCCCATTTGTCTGTGTGAGGGTGTCAGATCCGGAGGACCTCAGTTCAAAATGGATCTGACCACTTAAGTTGGAAAATTGCTAAGGAATGACGCCCCCATGGATGGAAGTGATTCCTGGCTGTATAAAATCACAGAATTCTTTAGCTTAGGTTACAGTAAATCCCTGGGTAAACTCCAGGACACACACAAGATTGGTGCTGGGGGGTTGGGGCAGCTGAGAAAGGATTTCAGGAACTTAGAGATTGGATGGGAGGAAGGAGGTTGTTCATGGAGTAAAAACTGATACTACTGTAAATAGTTTGTGAATAGGAGGAAGGCTATTGAGTGTGTTCAGGGTTGTGGAGCCAGGGAGAAATAGAGGTGGCCAGAAACAATTTGTCCACACTTTCAAATCTCTCATCTCCTCCCTTGTATCACCCTAGTAACAAGTGTCACACCAATGCTCCACCTTGCTATGTACTTATTTGCACATGTATTCCTTTTTTGCTTTTTAAAATTTATTTTTTTATATTCCAATCACAGTTCCCCCTCCTTCCTCTCTTCCCACTTCTCCCCCCTCCTCCACTTCCCATCTGCTCCTCAGAGAGTGTAAGGCTTCCCCTAGGAAACTTACTAAGTCTGTCCCATCGTCTCATTGAGACAGGACCAGGGCACCTCTCCACCCCACACCCCTGTGTCTAGGCTGGGCAAGGTGTCTCTCCATATAGTCTGTGCATTAGTATTAGATCTTGGACCCACTGCCAGTGGCCTCATATATTGTCGCCTATATGAAGGGAGTCTAGTTCGGTCTTATGCTGGTTCCCCATTTGTCAGACCTGAATCAGTGATCTCTTTCCAGCTGGGGTCAGCTGTTTCTGTGGGTTTCCCGTCATGGTCTTGACTCCTTTGTTCATGTTATTGCTCATCCCTCACTTCGACTGTACTTCAGGAGCTTGTCCCAATGGTTAGTTGTGGATTTCTGCGCTGTGTTTTTCCTGTGCTTGACAAAAAGTCATTCAAAAGAGGAGACTGCTTATCCTCCACAACTTATATTTGGTAGACAATTGGGAGTCGTGTATGCAGTGAGAAGAGAAGCAGGTAAGCTTTCATTGTATTTATTAGGCTGAAAGTATGTGCCCATAATGGGGGAGCATCAGGGTCACACACTACTGTGGGGGTGGCTCTGCCATTAGGAGTACATGCTTAGGGCACTGTGTTCTTCACAAGTTGCTTGTGAGTTCACCCAATAAGCAATAGTAATTGGTAACATTTATAGCAACATGTGGTAAAACTTGACTGTCTCAGTTCCTAGCCTGTCTACCTCAACTTTCTGATTTATAAAATGGGAATCAGGATATCGTCTACTGTAGTATGGAGGAAGATTGAGGATCACTATAATTTACTATATCTCAAACATTATTCATTGCTTTATGGAATGCTAACAAAGAAAAATGCCTGAAAATCAAACTGTGAACACTATAGATTTTTGTCGGGTGGGGCCTGATGTCACAAATGTTAGAAGAAAAATCTGAATTAAGTGTCTTCAAATCAGGGAATTGTGGTAAATGGATTACATGAATATTGCCATGTGCTGAATTGGATTCCCAATTTGTATGCGAAACCCTAACCCTCAGTACTCAAGATGCAGTTATATTTGGACACAGCGTCTTTATAAAGGGAATCACAATGAAGTAAGTTTATGTAGTTGACCCAGTGTAACCAATACCTCTAGGAGAAGAGAGGATTAGAGCAGACACACACAAGGGAGCCGTGTGAAGATAAAGGGAAGGCAGCTATCACTAGGCCATGGAGAGAGGCCTCAGGAGAGATCAATCCTGGCTGAATCTTCATTTTTGACTTTCATTTCTGCCACTCTGAGGAAATTCTTTCATTGTCGTTTATGCCACCAAGGCCTACAGTTCTTTCTTATGACAGCCCTAGAAAACAAATACAGATATCTTATTAAACTGTCTAGGACCACCTGGCAATGTATAGGAGACCCTGTGGCAGGAGGAAACCCTCTATCCCATCTTCAACTGGGTCCTTGTATGCAATGAACTCAGTACTAGATTAGCTCTTCCTTTCCAGTTGGCTCCCAAAGTCATTCATATAGAAGTCAGTTGTTCTCGTGGGACCCATGGGTTTTACGTGTACTGTAACCACACACACTTGACATCCAATTTAAAAAACATTTCCACGTATGAGGGCGTCAGGGAAATGTGTGAGGAGCTCCTGAGTATCAACACACCATTAGCAGAGCTGTGATGACAGCCCTTTGCCACCCTTTCCTCAGATTGTCCTCAGCAAAATTGACAATGGGTACTTGACATTAAGAGAATCTCCAAGGTCAGACTGTCTACATTAATTAGGGCTGTGAATGGGCCCGGCACTGCCTTCCATTTTTTTTTCAAGAGTGGTTTGACATTTGTGCATAGTATTAAGAAAGATCATAGAGACTGAACTGTGCCTGCTAAGAGGTTCAGCTCATGTTTGTTAATCTCCCGTGTGGTGCAACCCTGGCATCCAGACAAGCCCTCATTCACAGTGGAACAAAGAGCTAGTTATGTGTGTTGAAATTCCTTAGAGAAAATGTCTTGCAGGCTGCTGGGGAGCGCATGAATGCTGGAAATCCTTCACCAAGTGTTGCTCAATGTCCTGGGAAGACGGTCTGCTGGCATCTGGAGGCTCACCCTCGAGGGGTGTTGCTGTGCACTGGGGCACGTGGGGCTGGCGAGGACAGAAGGCGCATGGGAAGTTGGGTAGGTGCAGATGGGGTTGGATGTTTCCTCCGTAATCTCCCTGGCCACACTGGAGTCACCCCAGACTGCCCACTTTAGGAATCTAGTGGGACTATTTAACTAAAATCAGGCTTGTCACTGTGCCTACCTTTTCCCCAGCTCAGGACTGGATTTTCCTGTTTTCTGAGAGTGTCTGTGAGTAAGCCTGGTGAGTGTCCTTGGCTTTGATTTAGAGAAGTAGGAGGGTGGAGAAAGGGAGGAAAGGTTTTAGATGGCCGGCAAGGGATGGATAGGTGGGAATCTTTAAGGTGTAAGGCTGAAGTAAATCAGCATGGTTCCGGCTGTTTTGAGATGAGACTAAGCAAGCGGTCAGTGGTTCTCAACCTTCCTGGTGCTGCAACATTTTAACACAGTTCTTCACGTTGTGGTGATCCCCAACCATAAAGTTATTTCATTGTTACTTCATAACTGCAATTTTTTCTACTGTTGTGAATCGTAATGTAAATATCTGATGTAGAGGGTATTCGATAAGTGACCCCTGAAAGGGCGGTGGGAGGTGATCTGGATCTGAAGGGAGAACAATAAGAAGGGAAGCCGCGTGGAGAGCATGGGGAATGGAAGCCGTGTGGAGAGCATGGGGAATGGAAGCCGCGTGGAGAGCATGGGGAAGGGAAGCCGCGTGGAGAGCATGGGGAGTGGAAGCCTCGTGGAGACCATGGGGAGTGGAAGCCTCGTGGAGACCATGGGGAATGGAAGCCGCGTGGAGAGCATGGGAAATGGAAGCCGCCTGGAGAGCATGGGGAATGGAAGCCGCGTGGAGAGCATGGGGAATGGAAGCTGCCTGGAGAGCATGGGGAGTGGACTTAGGATGGTGGCTTTTACTATGCCTCTGGACCAACTGATCGTCATTTCCTCAGGTAAAAGTGTAAGCTTTCCCCACCTCGGAGCCTACTGCATCAGAAACTGAACACAGAGCCCAGCCATCTGCCGGAACATGGCCTCCCAATGGATGATGCAGAGCAAGACAGAAGTTTGAGAAACATGAGTTAGAGACGCCTGAAGGAGTACCACGGATCTGCAGAACACAGAACGCTGTGATGGGAGAAAGAGCAGGCAGGGGGAAGGGACTAAAAGTCAGAAAGAGGTTCAACGCCATGAAAAGCGATGAGTTTCTACTCCATACAAAGTCCCTACTGAGCCAGAATGTGAGTCAGGATTGTGACAGGTCAAAGCAGCTGGGATTCCTGCCTATCCCCAAGACTTAAGGAGCCTCTTAGCCAGCAAAGGCAAAGAGCAAGCTCTGATGTGAATCAGCCTCAGAAATGGGACGAAGGGGAGTCACTTTGCTGAGATCCACCTGCAGGTCTCAGTGTGGCTCATTTTTTTCGCTTTTCACTCCATTCTTGGTCGATCAGTTTGTTTGCTGACCGTCAGATGGTTTGCTGATGTCCTCATCGGTTAATGTGGCCTTAATCAGAAAGAGGGGTCACTGCAAAGATAGTTGAGAGCAATACCAGATGAGGTCATCCTGGATCGTGCAGGTGAACCCTATATAGAATGGCAATCATCCTTCTAAACAGACAGGAGGCAGCAGCTGAGACTGGAGTTACATGGCCACAGTCCACAGAGAACACAGACCCACCAGAAATCAGAAGAGGCCACGAAGAAGTCTTCCTTTGAACCTTCGGGGAAGCCATGGCCCCGTTGCTGTCTTTGAGCTTGGACTTTTGACCTGTAGAACTAGGAAAGAATAAATTTTCATTGCTTTCAGCCACCAAATTTGAGGCCATTTGTTAGGGAAGCTCTAGGAAATGAATACACTTGACTTGCGTGGAAAGGCCAAGGGATTAGGAGTTCAGCTGCACAAAGTCTTAAACTGTTTGAATTTTATTTCTTGGATGAATTGCAGACTCTGAGTCACAAGAGTCCCCATCTGGCTTGAATCACTTATTGCTTTATCAGCCTTCTGAACCTTGCGGTTTGGTCCTCTGGGTGAGATGATTCCCTAGGTCATCTCCATCTTTGCCGTCCTAGCGTTCTGATAAAGATGAGACTGGCATCTTCGTCCAAATCTTTGGGGGCGTCTTTGGAGCTGACGCAATCTATCACCCTTTAACAGGGTATCCTTTAAGCATTTACCAAGGAGGATGGAGAAAATTCCCTTCTGAGGTGCAGCATGATGCTGTCTTTAGAGCTGTGCACTCCAGTGTTGCATTTTTTTTCTCTCCCTTAAACAGAGAAATGAAAGTAATGGAATGCTGGCTGGATTTCCTTTCCTCATTCTTCACAGAGGGTGGGAGGACATGACGCTGGAAAATTAACCCCTGCCGCAAAGAGCCAATTAACCAAGCCTGCAGTGGAGATGCAGTATCATTGGGTCACTATCACCTGTATGTGAGGCATGGATGGTTGTATGGGATTGCCTTCAAGTTTTGCACCAGGAACAAACCAAAACAACCTCTGAAGCTGGCCTGTTTCCATGGCTGCATGTTCTTCAAGGAAATCCCCAGTATTAGCCACTGTAGCTAAGAAGTCTATGTGAGATACATTGGCACTGTCAATGTCCAAGGGAATTCCTTTCCAGAGAATCAGTAAGCACCCAGTTAACTACATATATGCTGTTGCTGCTGCTCCTAATAAGATCCCAGGTGTTCCTTTTCCCCTGGGCATAAGCCTTCAGATTCCATTTCCCAGTGCTAGCTGGTGGGCTGGGCCCCATCATTCAGTGTCTCCCCATTTCTCTGACTAGTGTCAAAGGTACCAGTGGTGGCATAAATGTGTTGTATATGTGATGGTCAGTTTTTCATGACTGTAATGTGGAACATGGACCATCTATGCAATTCTGACCTATCCCTTAACTCTTCTAAGACAACCAGCTTGTAGAGAGAAAATATTCCTTTTAGATCATAATTTTACAGGTTTCTGTCAGTGACACACAGAACAGTGGCAGAACACAATGGAGAGGAGAGGATGGCAAGACTGTTCCCCTCATGTCTGAGACGCGCGAGAGAGAAGGGAAAGGATCTGAAACCCCAATATCCCCCTTCTAGGGCTTTCTTCTAGTGATTTAAAGACTTCCCACTGGGCTCCACCAGTTTCCACCAGTGCCAAGCCTGTGACTAAGTCTTTAACACATGGACCTCAGGGAACACTGAAGATTCAAGCTATGATAGTGTGTCAATGCCGCCTTTAGCTCTGCAGCTAGGATGAGGAGAGGTGATTCCAACTAGGGTAAGGCTCAAGTGTGAGAAAGAAAACTTGTCTTTGATAGCCTCTCACTACCTCCCTACCACAGAAACCCAGTTTCCATCTTCCTGCACTTTCACTGGGCTAACAGACTTCTGACTTTGATCTTTTCACCTGTCTTCTCTATCACAGGCAGCTGTTCTGACCCAGGCCTTTAAAGTTTGAATTTGTTAAAGACCAAAGGTTCTAGCTGATATTTTAGTATCCTATTTCCAATTAAGCTTTCTGAAATGCTCCCCTCTTGGATGCCCCAAGAGCCAATCAAATCCTGGGAACTTCAGACTTGTGGTGAAGAAAGATGGTAGAGGAGTGTCTCCTAGAGTCCTTGGCATCACAGATGTGGTAGTGACATGTGTGTCCATAATCTACACCTGTGGACTCAGTAGAACTTGGACCACATAGACGACAGATGGATGTATTTAGACAATGGGTTTCAGCTTTACCCCAGAGCCAGTAAAGGGAAATGAATGTTCACAGAGCTCCTCTTGTAGGACCCTCTTGGGAAGGGTTCATAGGACAGTAGATGTGTGCAGGGTACAGCTGACAGAATCAAGGTCCCTTCTGTGGCTCACATGACCATGTGGGACATGGGTGGTATAAAGCATTTATGCGATTCTGGCCTATCCCTTAAGTCTTCTTAGTTCCTTTCATCTGAAATATCATGGGATGAAGGCAATGTGTGGTGTAGCCACAGAAATCCTCTAGTCTCAAAGTAAGAAAAGTCCAACTGCTTCCAAGTGTCAGATCTTAGAAATCAGACTCTTCGAGGAGGGACCTGGTATCTCCATCTTCGGTAAGTGCTTATGGTCTCTAAAGGGTCCAGCCAGTATGGAGATGGTATCCCAGGCATCCTCATGCCCTCCCTCTCGTGATATTTTTCAGAAAGGCCAAGAGGAGGCCCAGTACAAATCTTGTGGCTGAACTTTTCCAGTAGTGTGTTCTCAGTACGCCATGTCTCTTTCTACCTCATTTTTCTCAGTTGTGGTTTAGACAGAATGAGTACACCCACCATGTAGGTCTGACTTTATTGCTGTGTGTGTCTCACTGGTAGGCTAGGGTCCCCTTGTCTTCTCCTCAGTGCAGAGCTCAGAATAGTCCAGCAGCAGATGCTGGCCTCATGAGCTCACTGCTGCGTCTGTCATATCTCAGCCTCTCCTTTCCTGGATTGGAATGCCACGGGGTTCTGCTGAGACATAAAATCTGGTGTATGAGGAAGAGCTATTGTCCCTGTCCCTTGTCCTCGGGGACAGTTGTCTGTGGTGTGAGCATAGGTCAGATCAAGGATAGAGGTTCTTTGCCAGCTCCTAGGCAAGCAGGATTCTTGGGAGTACAGGTGGGAGGTCCTGGCGTCAGGACAACATTCTCTCTGCTGCAGGGCAACTGCCACTAAGGTTAGCAAAGACAGGGTCATTGTCCAAGTGTATGGTTCTCACTTATTCAGTGTTGTGTTTAATAGAGATTGTGGTCAGGTGACCTGGAGGATGACCAAACTTCCAATAGGGAAGCAGCTAGACTTCACAAGGTAACAATGAGCAAGGGAATGCCCAGCCTCTCCTCTCAGGGACACTGCTCTGGAAGCTAGTCTGCCTCTAGCTTTCTTGAACTGTGAGATCCAGTTCTTCTCCATGCTATAGCAGCAAAGATGAGAGTTGCAAAAGGCAACTGGAGAGAAGCTATGGCACCTTCGTTGACTTAACCTTGGAAGTCACAGAGCATCATGGCTGCCATAGTCACAAGTCTCCTACAGAACACAAGCAAGTCTGCCTGTGTCCCCAATTTCTTTAATAGACTACCACTTACTCTAATTCCATTGTTTCCCTAGCATCAAGAACCTTATCCTTCTTGCTGGTCTCTTAAATGTGAAAGACCACTAAGAAATGAAGGAATGAAATCTGAGGGATCTGTTACTCTCTGCCGAATGTCTTTCTTATTGCCCCATCTTAGTATCAACTTGCCTTGTTCATTCTCCATTGAGGATAGGTCAACTCTTGATGAATGATGCAAAATTTACTTCAAAGGAAGAGTGGGTAGGATGGGGGACCCTGCTGCAGTCCTCCCTAGAAATCACAACCTGATACATCATTAGAGGGACCCAACATGTTCCCTCGGGTCTGCAGGCAAGTCTAGAGTCTTTCTGACTATTTTTAGGGACATTGCTGCTGTTTGAGATGAGTGCAGGATTCAGACAAGGCCACCTCCTCCACCCTTTCTCATTAGGCTTTGTAAATAAAGGAGTCCAGAGGTAGAAATGGTGCTTTAGGGTCATCTTGTTTGGATCCTTGCCATTTTGGAGAGAAACATGGAAGCTATAAGTTCCTGGGCCTTTTGAAATGAAGCTGGCCAGTAAGTAGACACACACACAGAGGGTCCTGGTCCATATGGTGAATGTCTCTGGTGTGATGTCTGGGAGCTAGAACAACGAGATTTGGAAAGGCACAATAAATTCTGACACTGAGGTTAAAAAACAAAAAACCAGAATAGACATAGCATACGCAGCCAGACACAAGAATGGATATTTATTGAGCTCCATCTCTATTCTGAACCATTTGAGTGCTACTTGCTTTCCTTCTCGTAAAGCTCCCAAGAGATGAACACTATCCTTTTCAATTTGTAAAGGTAGATACTGAGTCAGAGGTCAACTGACTTGATCACATGGAGCAGCCAGTAGTGACATATGTTGGGTTCAAATGATGCTATCTGATGCAGTCGTTCATTCCATAGCATTTCCTCTAATAGTGAAAGTCTATAAGAAATAGGCAAGAGAGGCACTTCCAAGAAGGAGTAGCAGGAAGGAAGTTAGTCACATGGAAAGGGCTCCACTGGGTTTCCTCCCTCTGTGTATATCTTAGTGATTGTTCATGCTTAGGAGACATCACAAAGGCAGGCTGCTTGGTGCTAGGGATGCAAAGGGATCCAAACAGGAGGTGTACTTGCAGAGAAAATATAGACATGGGTAAGTTTGCTTGTGTCAAGTGGGAAACAAGGACAGCCTGTCTCCCTGCAAGCCAGTGGTCACCTGCACTGGCCTGGGATCTACAGGACGGTATTATCCATTTCTTTTTCCTACCCTCAAGTTCCCTGGCCAACATGTGCCTTTTTAATTCTCTGGCAGAAGGTAGGACCCAGGGGATCGGGAAGAGAAACCGGAAGTAGAAGCTATGCTTATATGTCACTACTCACTTCTTTTTTCTCCAGCATTCCTTCCATCTCTAGAATGTGTGAGTTGCATTTTTTTCTTTTTCTTTTTCCTAACACTAGTCTGGTATGCAATTCATCTCAAACCTGCTCAATTATTCCCTTTGTTGAAGGAAATCTTTGGTCCCTCCATTTCAAAGTCCAACCTTGTTCCATGAAGAAGCCTAGCAAGGGGGCCAGGCTGGCGAGCTGCAGCCTCTCTCCACCTTTCAGCTTGGCGAGCTGGTGCATCCTCAGGCGGTGAACGCTTCAGTAGGGCAGGTCATACCAGATCCCTGGCAGTCCCGTAAATCTCTCCTGTAACTGTGACTCCTCAGTCACCTTTGTGTGATTTCTGCAGCCAAGTCATCCTACAGGGATGCACTCTGGCTTGCCCTTTGTTCTAGTCCTCAAAGCCACCGTGGGAATACACTTGATGAATCATGGAACTGAGCCTACTCGGGAGTTGCGGGTATCACAGAGAGGCCCTCGCATGGATTGAGGGAGGCTCAGAATACATCACGGACTCAGGGTTTAGCCAGGTTGCGGTTGCTCTCCTGGCCTTGGCTTCTCTCATACTTTGCCCCTCACTGAATGTTCCTTCTCACAGACCTCACCTCCCATCTGCTCAACCTGCCTCAAGGCTGGGCCTCCCGTCACTAGATATTTGGCTTGGAGCTCCAACATTCTTGAGATGAGTTCTCTCTCTATTGCTCATTCCAGCTCAGACAATCTTGGGGGGGGGTGAGGAGGTGAGAGGAGCTGGGCCATAGCAAACAGCAGATGAGTCATCTCCCCAGGTTGACGTGGAAGGATGGGTGGATGTGCTGTTAGGAAAAAA